CAAAAACAAGGCATTCAGAAACACATAAGAAGAACTTTGCTGTCCTGGTCAAAATTCAAAGCAATGTGACTAGGGTAACTCCTGGCCATTAAAGACACAGGTTAGAAAAAAAAAAGTTCTTCAGTCTCCAGCAACGAAGATTAAGAAAGTACCTTACAGAAACATTAGAAAATCCTGAAAAGTACCAACAAACTGAACACAATGGATTACTGCAGGATCAACTGGGAACTAAGGATCCGGGAACAACAAAGAATATTAATGTAGAACTTTTAAAATTGTGAACATTGCTTTATACAAAAGCTATCTGGAACAAGGAATAATTATTGATAAATTACTAAATACCTGTTGCATAAGACAGCTTCCAAATGAGAGTAGGAAATTTGGTAAATATGTACATTACTTATACATCAACAGCCTGATGAAGCAGATTCTCACTTGTCAACCTGATCTGCTGTGCAGGGGGTCTCCTGGTGCAGAATGGCTTCTGTATGTCAACGAGGTGAGGGATGCACTATAACCTATGACTGAATTGCTATTATGGAAACCTTTTTAGGAACCTTTAGGGTGAACTGCACTTTTTAGCCCCATGAGTCTGGTTGGTGTACCAGTGTGAGAGCAGTGTCAGCACCCTGTAGCTCGATCTCATGAGATCTCAGAGGATAAGCAAGGTCGGGCCTGGTCTGTACTTATATCTTCAGGATAAACAGGTCATTGTTGTAAGTGGCACTTGTAGACCAGAATCTGGTACCCTTTTTTCTGGACTTGAATTTCCAAGAACAAGAACCACTAGCAGTGGCCCCGTGTCCTGGCCAAATTGCCCCCTGGCCTTTATCAATCATGGCCTCCTAATAATCCTCATCCCTGGCTTCATCACTTTGTTCTCCTCCCCACTGATAGCTGGTGTGTGGTGAGCATACTAGCGCTCTACAGCTGCTGATGCATCATCAAGGTGGTGCTACACATTGGTGGTGGAGGGGAGTTCCCTTTATCTGTATTGCATTTTGAGTGGAGTGTCCAGAAAAGCGCTATATAAGTGTATGGAATTATTATTAGTAATAGACGTAGTACACTGGCTGAAGATACTGTCCTTCACAAGAGACATTAAGCTGGTCATTAACGATCCTACTGCACTTTTTGAAAAAGTAGGGTGTTGTATCAGTACCCTGGCTAAATTTCACTCTTTGATTGTACAGTGTGGCTTTGCAAAAGTTCCCCGTGAATGTAGCTAGAAGTAATTTCTCGTTTCCCACCTCATCGACTGTTTAGCAGCACCACTGACAGAGAACAGCGGCCACACTCACTCAGATGGGAACTACTCATTAATGATGGATGAAAAAACGGGGTTCCCTCCTACACGTAAAGTGCTTAGGGGACTTTTGGGATTAAAAGTGCAATATAAATGCAAGGAAATTTTATTAATACTCTTTTAAATACAACATACAGGTATATACAAATTACATAAAATAGGTTTTGAGAAAAACAGTGGCAGTGGTAAGAATTGCTACCTCGTGGAGCTGTGGCCCTGGGTTCAGCTCTGGACGTGGGGTGCTGTCTGCGTGGAATTTGTATGTTCTCCGTCTGTTCATGTGTGTTTCCTCAGGGTGCTTCCGTTTCCTCCCGGTTTCCTCCAACAGCCCAAAGACAATTAACTTGTAGGTTAATTGGCTTCTGAGAAAACTGGCCCTAATGTGAGTGTATGTCTGTTTGCCCTGTGATGGACAGGTGTCCATTCAGGGTGTAATCCTGCCTTGTGCCTGTTACAGAGATAAACTCTGGCTCCCCCACGACTTTGAAGTGGAAGAAGACATTAGAAAACGGATGAACGGAGGAACGTTTTTCAAGAAAAGCATTCTTGCCTTAGCTGGTACTGTCAGACGTCGTGTTATCTAGGTGAATTTTTTTATTTAAATAATTTGAAAACAATCAAAAATTCCGTAAGAAAATAGCCACTGGCTATCTCTAGTAACCGTTTACAGTATAAACTACAGTACATTGTTTCCAAGGAACTAATTGTAACTAAGGAAGCGCACTACTCCAGCGCATGAGCAGTACCATTGTGGACGTCCATGGCCACTGATCCTTGGTTGTCATGCCAACAAAGGTCAGGGGTCAAAAGTGATACGTCACAAAATTTCGTTCAACGAAATAAACATCGACGTCCTTGAGTTCACGAAATGAGCAGTGACAAAACACAAACGGTATTCCGCTTCGAGCGCACGACTTGAATATCAATTTGCGATATTCGTATACAAAATAAACATGTTTTTGTCTAAAAATTGAAAGTCTGTATGTCATTATATGGGTAGAGTAACACAACTGTCTTTTGTGGGTACAATGAAAGTTGTTAGTTTTTCATTTCGTGTTGTGCAAAACAAAAATCAATTATGTAATACATTTCATGTTGGGAGTGTAATACGACAAACGGCGCCCTTCAGTCCTGGGTACCCCACGACAAGTACAATCGGGCATCCGGGTCACCCTGCAGCTCACGGCCGATCGATTTCACAAAGCTTTGCTGCTAATGCTGGTCCGAAAAGCACCAGTTAACATTGCAGTTTAACTTTACAGTGTGCCAAATACGTATTGTGCACAGACCCGTATCTGACCGCACGATTTAAGAATGATTTACTAAGAGAATCCTATTCGAGCACGAGGTATCATTACGAACAGAATATGAATCCAGTGCTTACAAGATGCAAAATACTGAGGTATATTATATTTATTTTCCTAGCCGGTGGACATGTTTATAACAACCAGATCACTTCAAGGGGTCAAATGCAACAGCCCGTTATGTGATTTTAGAGGTCAACAAGCTCAGATGTAATGTTATTTGAATGCAGTGTACTTTATTGCGGACAAAACGTTATTTACCAGCAGATGAGACGCTCCGGTGATTTGCACAGTTACAACCCCCAGCAAAGACGCTCCATACTCCGGCGTATCCGTCACTCCCACACCGCGGTTCTTCTCCGCGGCCCGCGTCTGTTGGGATCTTTCTAACTAAAATCAAGTGTTACCGAAACAAACGTCCAGGTTTCTAATCCTCTAAAAACAAGATAGTTTGGTTAGCTCGTAACTGTATTCAAAATCCCCACAGTCACACAGTTTCCATGAAAAGCACTGTGCTATCCAGGAAGATAAAAGTCCCAGGTACCAGTTGCAAACACAACACAATGACGTCATGGTCACACACAAGGTCCACACGCCCGAGGATTCCCACGGCCGTGAACGCGCCTTCTTTTCTCTATTAAAAATGCTTAAACTGCTATTTAATGTATAGAATCTGTGTATAAAATCACAGTTATGTTGCAGTTTACATAAATGTGTAATACATTTACGTGATAGCAGGTAATTATTTGTACGAGTATTTACATATTTAAGAATTTGTTTTGACATTATTGTTTTTTTTTTTTTGGCTTTTCAATAACCCCAAAAGGCACTCGACTCTCCCCCTTCCTGCCGCTTTCACAGTTCTTGTGGAGTATGGAATTAGAAATTAGCTGAAACACTAAGACAGATGTTTCAGATCATGGAAAAAAAATATTATGAGGTGACGGTTAACTGCAGTGTTTTTTTCACCGGTTTATTTAAATAAAGACAGCGTGTTCATTACTGGAACAAAAAAGCAAAGGACACAGGGGTAGTTCCCAAACCGGGGCTGAGAATCACAGCTCCAGCTGCTGCTGTTAGTGGTGTTGTTGGGCCAGTAGGTGGTGTTCTTCCATCCTGACCACACTGTTCAAAAACCAAGGTCCCAGTACGATTGGGATGATGATCGGGGACACCGTGCTGCAGGAGGTGCTGGTCTTCGGGTGATACATTAATCTGAGGTAACGACTTTGTTTAGTAGGGGTGTCAGTTCTGGTGTCCTGCTTAATTCTACCCTGGGCTTGTACCATGTAGCTTACCCTGTATCTTCCCTTAATTCAGTCGAAGGAGTTTCTCATTTCTCCCCCTGTCCAGCTGTGCAGTGGGACTGCTGGTGCCGACCAGTGGTACTGCTGGTGCCGACCAGTGGTGCCTCTCAGGTGGGGGCTGTGCTTCAATGCTGGAGGAAGAGGGGGCCTATTTCTTTATAAAGAACTTTGGAATTCTTTAGGATGGAGAGCACTAGTAGAATGCAGCTTTGGGCTGTGTAATTATTTCAGAACCTTGTTAAGTACTTGCCATACCTACACGAGATGCCAAAAAATAAAAAGAGGCACAGCTCATCTTGCAGCAGAATCATGCTTTCCTTTCAGCAGATGAGGCTGCATTATGATTTGTAATTGTAAATCTTTGACAAGGAAAAGGATATGACCAAAACCCAATGCCCTGAGGTTGGGAGGCAGAGGCTGGGAGTTTAACATGTAAAGAGTAACAAAATAATCCATACATTTTCTAACGGCTTCTAACAATTCGGGATTGCAGGGGAGCCAGAACCTAACCTGGCATAAAACTGGTGCAAGGCAGGATATACCCTGGACAGGACACCAGCCAATCACAGGGCACGCACAGAGACAAGTACACACACAGTCCCACCAGGGCCAATTTTCCCAGAAGCCAATGAACCTACCCGTATATTTTTTGGACTCTGGGAAGAAACTAGAGTGCCCAAAGGAAACTCACACAAACCCAGAGAGAACATGCAAACTCCACACAGATAGCACCCCGGGTCCAGAATTGAGACCAGAGAACCCAATGCTAATCACTGTGTCACTGTACTGCCCCTTATACATTAATCACTGATCAGAACTGCTAGAGTCCAGTGTTGAACTGGTTAATCATCAAGGAGAGAAGCGAGGGGCTTCTTGGATGGGTAACAAAAGCAACAAGAGAAATGGTTTCTAACTGTAAGCTTTATTAAATATTTAATAGAACATCTTACATCTAGATATACAGGCTGTGGCTGGAAGGGAGAAATGGATGATCACAGGCCTACATGAAAGGACACGCCATGCGTGTTCAACGCAGTGTTAAAAAGTCTTTGTTAAGCACCCAGCTTTAAAGAGACTTAAAAGAGGCACACCCCTGTCTACGAGCACAGCAGCAGAACAAGCTTATCGATGGGCTTCAATGAACTCTAACTGCCAGATCAAAATGAAAAAGCCACAGATGGAAGAAAGAGAAAAATGATGTAGTCACTCAAGATCCAGGTCAAACTGATTTAGTTGCAACACATTCTGAACTGGCTGCTCCCTGACTGCTCCTGGTGTTTAAAGTGCACCAGACCTTTACAAAGTTTGTCCCTTTTTTATTTCCATTTGCTTAAGGCACAGAAAATACTAAGGGAACACACTGCATCGGGAAGAATAACTAGTTAGATTAAAATCCACCAGATGGTTTATTTTTCCCCCATCAAAGGTAACAATGTTAATAATTTGCTGACAAAGTGGGTTAAGCGACCAGGGGAGTTTATGTCTACAATTTCCACTGATGCCCACCGCACTTTAGATCTTGCAAAGTACATGCAGTGTTTCCTGGACAAAATGTATAAAGGGAACAACTCCTAGAGTACATCAAACTGGAGTCATCCCACATTCGTCTTGATCTGCACTAGTTTTGAGATGTAAAAGGTAGCAGTTCAGTATCAGTCTTCACAGTTCCAAACAGTGTTTTAACTGGGATCCTTGTATCTTAAATCAATATCTCATTCTAATGTACAGCAGTTAAAGTAAAATCATCTAAATTGTCCCGCATCTTATTCAATACGTTGCTGTGTGCGAACACAGCTGACATTGTTGCATATTAGACTGATATTGACCATTTTCACTACTCTAGCAAATACAGTTTATGAAAATGAATATCTGATGATGTGGGAGGAAATGGACAGGGGAAGAAAATTAGTGTTGCACCATACAGCCCATCGAAAAGACCTTGTGCGTTATAAGTCTGTGCAATGCCAATAAGTTACCTGCTCCATTTCCTCCCAAGCCACAATGGGGAAGTGATTTCCAGAGTATGCGTTTCGAAGAAAACCGTTAGATGCCTAAGACAGCCCAGAAAGGTACAGACAGTGTTGACTGCTTGTGTTTCCAGTCAGGTTTTTACATGATGGCGCTCAAGAAGAGCGTCAGTTAGCAGAGTTCATCACGTTACAAATTCTGCCAAATTCGGTCTCCAGGTTCCCCGCCAAATACTCAGGTTTTGAAAAGAGGGGTACACTTCACTAATCAGTCTGTCCAATGATCATAGACAAGATCAGAGCTAATGAAGTTACAACAGAGAACCAACTGCCTCTTCGTTTTTAACCGGCCTGCAGAATTTCCATAAAAAACAAAACGGGAAATGAATGTAAAAACCCATTTCACAGACTTTTGTCAAGAACAACTTTTTAATGGCCACTGATTCCCCCCTCTCCGCTACTGATTATCTCTTGGCTGTTAGCTTGATTCGCATTCCTGCCTCTTCAATTACAAGTAAAATCTAAAATCCCATTGTAACTCATTCACTACCACAGCTATGGCCCTCTCCCTTTCTCATATAAAGCCTGTCTCCCTTCAGCCCTCCTTTTCTGCTCCAGAAGGCGAACGCCTTCTTTCTCGAATTTCCTCTGCCATCACAATCTCACACCAACAGCTTAAGAGAAGGATCTCATTCCGAATCAGCTGGACCGATACACTATAACACCTTTCTCCAGAGGAGAAAGAGTGACGATTTAAACAGACAAGAGGTCTGCAGGATTACAGCTCTCGAGGATCAACTGGGGATCCATGAATTCATGGATTGAAGGGCATCTTCAAAGCATTTTTCGCGCCGGGATTCAGAGCTGTATGGATCTGAAAGGCAGGCTCTGTGTGAGCCTGTGGGCGGCGTTACAATACCTAGATCAAACGAACCTGAAGGACGAAGAGGCAGGAATGAACGGCCAAGACTCAAACCGACACCTGAGCCCAGGGAGTCAAGAGAGACCAGCACGTCCATAGCTGACTTGTAAAACGCTTTGTCCAGCACCTTTGCTCTCTGCCGATTTCCTTTCCGACTTGGTGTGCGCCCCGCGAAGGACTCATCGAGGCCTTCTCTAAATTTTTCCTTTGGGTTCGGATCACACCGCGCCTCCCTAGCTACACCTACAGGAACGCGGCAGCCTCCAGGAATGCCTGTCGGAAGGGACGCCTCTTAGCATCGCCGAATCTCTCGATCCCTCACGGCGAGCCATGTACTTTTGTTCAGCACACACCCCCCCGGCCGGAAATGTATCATTCGAAGGCTGGAGGATCCAAGCAGGAGCTCCAGGGAGAATGCCACAGGGCCCCCCCACGCTCCAGGGCCCGAGGCCGGTCAGAAAGGATATCGGCAGGGAGAGGCTGATTCTACACGGGGTCCTGCGAGCCCCAGCGGCACTTGGGAACAGTGGGTGCAGGCTGCCGTGTGTGTGTGTGTGTGTGTGTGTGTGTGTGTGTGTGGTGGGGGGATGCGGTGTCCTCTCAGAGCAACGAGTCATCGGTGCAGCCCCCTTCCAGGCCGTAGCGGAACTCCTGCAGGTTGGACACGCCGTAGAAGTGGATGAAGGCAGCCGCCACCACCAGCACGTGGAAGATCTGGTGAGACTGAAACTGAGGAAGCAGAGCATGAGATCATGAGACACTGTGAAATCCCTCTGCTGAAGCCCTGCTTTCAAGAGCAGAGTTTTTTTTTTTGAACTTTGTATTTAATGGTGAAAGTTTTCCAATACTACATAAGAAAAAATAAAAATTACAGCTTTTATCTTTCATTTTTGGATGAGATTTTTTATCGCATGAACTATTTACATTACGCCAGTATAGATGGGAGGTTATATATAAATACAGTCAGCAAAAACACAACAAATAACCAACAATCCAGACAAAAGACTGCTTCATCCTCTTTCACAGAACAGAATCAGGTCTCAATTGGGCTACAAACCCACTCCAGGCCTGCCAGGATTTACTAAACCTTTCTACTTGTAACCCAAGAGAAAAGGTGAGCTTTTCCATTATATAAATCTCCCTTCACAACACTGATAAAAAAAAAACAGATCTGATATAAATAAAAAAGCCAACATTGTAAGAGCTGGGCGGCAAAAAGCTGAAGGTAGGAAAAGTGGAATGCAGAGGGAAAAAGATGGATTTCAGGAAGAACAGGACAGAAAACAGCGCAACAAGAGAGAGAGGTACAAGGGGTGACAGATCACAAAGGGTGAGATATATTAAGTGAAATCCCTTATTCCTGCTGTAAAACCTGTGTATTTTATTTTCCAGTAAGTCCGCACCACATGTTCAGGGCTTGAAAAGCCACTTTGCAACATGCATTTATATAATAATAATATCACTTTATTAACCCTATACAATGTCTTGCATTAGGAATTTTGTCTTTTCACATACCCCAGCTTGCTCTCTATGAGACACACAGACAGGGAGAGAAGCTTAGGGTCAGCCATTGTACAGCGCCCCTGGAGCAGCTGGGGTTAAAGGGCCTTGCTCAAGGGCCCAATGGAGTAGGATTCCTCTGCCGGCTGCGGGATTTGAACTGGCAACTTTCCAGCCACAGGCGCAGATCCTTAGCCACAGAGCCACCGCTATAGAGTCTAGGAATAAAATGTCTAGTGTCTAGTCATATACTCGTCAACAATGTTTTTTCAAAGGAAACAGCAGAGAAACTGCTTACACCGGACAGCAAGCAAGAAAGCCAGGCCAGCCAAGAGACCCGAGCACAGTCCCGGATAAAACTGAAAGAGTGCATGGATCGGGCCCTGAAAAGGGCGCAAGGCCAAGCCATCAGATGCTGCTGTGTTCGTGTTTGCTTTTTTTCTGCTGGGTGATGTGCCAGATAGATGTTATGAGTATGTTAGGAGCTCTCCCTGGACTGGACCCGGCTCACAGGACATCCCCGTGGGGGCAGGGGGCACAGACCTCCAGCTCCACAGGAAAGAGAAGCGCCGTCTTACCCAGATGTCACACTTGCCGGGGAAGTAGCGCTCGGGGATCCTGGCGGCGTACAGCCCTGCGCCGGTAATGTACATGGCGCCCATTAGGAAAAACCAGCCCATCTGGCCCACGGTGGTAGCCTTGACGAAACCCTCAGCGATAGTGAAGTGCATAGTGGGCACGATACCACTCAGGCCCAGGCCCATGAACACTCCTGTGGGGACAACACACGCTGAAGCAGAGGGCAGAAAGACAGACACGGGACAGGGAGCAGACACGCCAAGCCAGGGGGTAGACAGGGGGGCCTGAGGGGTACAGTCTACAACCCAGTTAGTTGAAGCAGGCTAGTGTTTTTAGCATTGTTATATATCCATCCAATCTGGAACTGCCATTTGTGTGCTTTCCATGTTTCGGCTCACAGCTATGACCTCTCAAGCACTGATGGGAGAGATCAGGGAAGACGAGGCTCCTTCGAACTACCTGCCTTTGAGCCCGTTCTCCTTTGACGCGCCACAGGATACCTGGCCCTAAACAAGAGACTAAGCTCCTGTCCGAGGAGAGTCACGTCCCTCGTGACAGCACAGGAACATCTGCAAGCACCCAGGACGTGACGGGGATCTCTGTGTTACTGCTATCTGAGAAACCACTGTTTGGCTGCCAGGAAATCACAGTCACAGTGGGCTAGTAACTTGGCCTAGGCTCGTGAACCTGCAATGCCTGGACCGTGGAGCTCAGGTAAGAGCCTTGAGGGGTTGAGCCACTTAGGAGTCCCAAGCAGGGTAAGATTTAAACAGGTGTCAAACCTGCTGGGATGTGGCCCTGGTCTGGACTGGAATAGAAGGACACTCATCTTTAGGATGTGCATGATGTCCTACTATCCTGCTGCATTTAAAAAATTTACAGAACAGCAATAACAGACTGTGGAAGAGTCTGAAACAAGATACTGGAGATACTACTTGCTCATTTATTCACATTAAAGTGACCATGACAAATACGATACTATAATAAGTACATCCCATGAGAACATATTTGCATATATGGATATTAGATCTTCATTTCAACAATATTGATAGATAAAGGTGATCTAATTAAAAGATAATTAAAATTATTCTTTGCAATCATTTATTCAACAAAAAAAAGTCAGAAATGCAATTGTCTGCTGTGGAAAAAATAAGTCCACCCCCTAGCTTCAACAACTAGTGTTGCCCCCTTTGGCAGAAATCACTCCTTGTAGGCCTTTCTTGTAATTATCTATCAGTCTCCTACATCAACTTGGAGAAATTTTTGCCCACTCCTTACAGAGCTCCTTCAACTGTGTGATGTTTGAGGGCTTTCTTGCATGTTCTGCCCGCTTCAAGCCCCACCACAGCATTTCTGTGGGGTTAAGCTTTGACTTGGCCATTTCATAACCCTCCATTTCTACTTTTTGAGCCAGTCTTTTGTGGATTTGCTTGAGCCACTGTCTTGCTGCAAGGTCCACTTACGGTTCAGCTTCAGTTTTTTGACAGATGGCCTCACATTCTCCTCATGTACTCTCTGGTACAATGTGGAATTCATAGTTGACTCCTAATGGCAAGCTGGCCAGGCCCTGAGGCAGAAAAACAGCCCCAAACCATACTGCTTCCACCACCATGGTTTACAGTTGATATGAGGTTCTTCTGGTCAAAGGCAGTTTCTGGTTTGCGCCAAACATGACGTCTGGCATTGTGGCCAAGCAGCTCTCTATCTTTGTCTCATCCGTCCAGGGCACAGTGTTCCAATAGTCCTGATCTTCACCTACGTGTTGTCTGGCTAACTTCAGTTGTGCTCTATATTGTTTTTTGAGAGCAGAGCCTTCTTCCATCCAGACCTTGCATGTAGGGCAAAGTTGTGCAGTCTCTTTGGGATGGTTGACTCATGCACTTTGACACTGACTGAGGCAAGACTTGCCTGTAAATCCCTTGATGTTATCCTGAGGTTCTTGGAGACTTCCTGCAGCATCTTTTGGTCTTTTGCATTCCTCTTGATTTAAATAGTACAAATGAGTGCACAATGTGACTTTTCAATGTTATTTTTTAAAATTAGATCACCTTTATTTATCACTGTTCTTGAAATGACAATCAAATATCCTTTTGTCCAAAAATGTAAAAAAAGACAAACCTTTTCATGGGCTGTACTTACTTTTTCACACCACTGTAAGTGTACTGCTGGTTAGGAATGTTTTTCAGTCATTTGTACACACAAGTACTAAGTACTGTAACCATGACTGTGTTAAATTAACAGCTGAGGATGAATTCAGACCACTGCTCCACATTTCAGTTGTGCTCAATACATAAAACAGGAAAAAACAATGGTATGAGTACTATGTAGGATAACCTCTAGATAAAACACAAAATAGGTAAAAAAATGAAGTTATTTTTGCAGTATGTGTTTGCGTGTTGATCAGTATTTCTGGGCTCGTTTGTTCTGGTCTGAGCAAAGGTCCCGTTGAGGAGTGTGTTTCGAACTGTGTTTTGTGAGGTCCCCTGCCCTTGGGTAGTTGGGCTACCGTGTCTGCTCAGCCTTTCGCACTATAGTGCCCCCCATCTGGCAGGGACGTGATTTTACCTGCGCGCGTGGGCCGGTGGCGTGGGGTGGAGAAGCGGTCCCACTGCGACACGATGATGGCGGCGATGCCCAGCACGCAGACAATGGAGAGGTAGATGAGGCGTGGCTGAGGGGAGCAGTAGAAGGAGTAGTACAGCCAGGGCACGAAGGAGCCCATGATCAGCAGGGCGATCCCGGAGTAATCCAGCCTGCCAGGGGGACAGAGACAATCAATCAACCTTTCCCTTTTGAAATCAACTGTTTCTTTTAAAGCCAGCTTAGACACTCGCTAATGACTTTCTCTAATTGCAGTCTGGTTAGACGTGGAGGAACTTCTCTATTAAAAGGGATAATTGGCCATGAATTAGCTGTTCATTTTGCATTTGTGAGGATTAATTGAAAAATTAATTGAAAAAGCGACCTAGAATCCCATAACCACAGTGGAGAGGTGCACATTTTTAGACTTTGGGGTGGTGGCCAAATGCTTGAACTTCCTAAAAAATGTAGTTTTTAATTAGAAAGCATTAATGCCTTGCATTTATGCTGTCAGATTTAGAAAATAAGTATGTTTTTAAATTGCTAAGCACTTTATGTTACTAGGGATAGTAACAGATACTTAAGTTGAAAAAATTAACGCAATTCTTTAGATAAAAAAAACAATGTTTTAGTACAGTATTTCAAATACAGCAAAAACAAACACTGAACAGTACCAAGCCCATTTAGAGTGGTGTGGCAGAAACAGACTGAACAAAGGATCTAAAAAGATGAAAAAAGAGATCACAACTGTGAGACATGAAAATAAATGAGTGGAAGAGAATTTAGACTGAGGCAAATGCTTCAGGGACTAGTGTCCTGTCGAGGGTGCAATCTATCCTTGCTCTCTGTGTTTGCTGGGATAGGCATTGCCTTGGTGTACCCCACTAAAGGATGAAGCATCTCTGGATAATGATGTTTCTGAAGTACTGAAAGTACCTTTGCACTAGTGAGTGATGCATGTGTTGCTAAACTGATGCGGTGTCATTCCTGCACTGTGAACGGGTCCGATGCGGTGTCACTCC